ATCACTATCACGAGCGAATTCCACTCCAAAAGTACCGAGAAAACTTTCGACGACATCGACGACGAGGAGGAAAGTACGACGCACGAGAAAGAATAAAAACGCAAGACTGGTGAAGAAGAGCGAGCGAACTATGCATTGTTTCTTTCGCCTTGTTTTCATAAAGCCGATACTCCTATAACATTCATGAGAGATTCTCCATAGGCGAGAAAGAGACGCTTACTCGATTGATGTGAATTGAAATGACCGGGCTTGAAAATTTGTACTACGATCCAGCAAATTATGCAGGATATTCGGCAACGGATAACCTGTCGCGTGCAGCTAAACCGAATTTCTCTCGTAAAGAAGTAGCTCGAATCGCAAGACGCGTACACGCTGCACTGTTCGTTGAGATGAAAATTTCCACGATTATGTTACAACGTGACGAATATCGACAATCTGTGGGAGGCCGATTTGATCGAACTCCGTAATTTCAAAAGTTACAACGACGGATTTTCTTATCTTCTCGTGATTATCGACGTACTTAGTAAATTTGTCTGGGTAGAACCGTTGCGAGATAAACGAGTAATTGCATGACAAGGGCCTTCCAAAACATTCTCTCGAGAAGATATGATCGAGTACCCGTGTACTTACAAACCGACAAGGATAAAGAATTTATCGCGCGATCGTTGCAAGATTTTTTGAAAGAAAGAGGCATACGTTATTGAATAGCTCGCAATCCGAACATCAAAGCTGTCGTTGAACATTTCAGTTCAATAGAACATTGAAAGAGCGAATGTGGCGCTATTTTACACATAAAAATACGCGGCGTTACATCGAAGTGTTGCAAGATATCGTGCGCACTTACAATCACACTCGTCATTCGTCAGGATGCAATCGGCGGCCGTTACGAGAGAAAATGGTCGCATCGCACGCGAAAATATGGAGTGGCGTAGGGGGAGAGAGAAGAGGGCGCCGAAAGTAATAGAACGAAAGGCTAAATTCGATGTTAACACTTTCGAGAAAGGATACGAAGCGCGGTGAAGCGAGGATATATATTGAGTTTGTCGCATTCTCCATTGGCGAAGACCCCGAATGTGTACGAATTGTGTGATTTATCGGGAGAACACATCGATGGGATTTTTAATGAACAAGAATTAGCACGAGTCGATAAAAATTTGGTGGAAGAAGAGTTTATCATCGAACGCGTGATAAAGAGCAGAGGACGCGGTGCTAATAAACAGCTGCTAGTTAGTTGGCTATCCCAGTAAATTCTACAGTTGGATTCCCGCTTCGAGTTTAATTTTTCTCCAAGATGGAGGAGAATCAATTTTTCATGATTCTTCCGAGCAATAACAGTAAGAAATATTTTCTAGGAAATATATGCTCTTCTTTCACCACACAATTATCTCACAGTATACATTTATTCGGAGAATGGGAAGTCGCACTTAGTGAGATTCAATTTCCCTCCTTTTTTTCACGTACGTCAAAACGATAATAAGATTAGATTTGCCGATTTAAAGAGCGTAAAAGATGAGAAGAATGCTGATAAGTTTACGAAAGAATCACACTTATGGTGTTCATAAACAAGTGTTTATAAAAATAAAGAGGATCTTATCCACGCGATTAATAGAGAGTGTAGATACGCCGATTTGCATTTTACTTTCGAACTACAAAAAGGCTCTGATGATAATGTCCTCATAAGCATCGAATGTGACGAAAACTACACTCTCGTTTATTATATAAATCTGCCAGCTAATATTTTTCAAATATTGAGGAAAATCAACACCAATGATGCCAGCCTTTTTTATCATCACAAATTACCTAATTCCAACGATTTAACTCCGTTTTTCAAACTCGGTTTTATCGCCGGTAGTGGAGGACACGTTATATCTTCCTGAACTATAGGACCCTGTAGTCTATGGCACAGTAGCTCCGATAAAATGTACGTTTATTACGATATTTGCGAGCCTTACATAACGCGAAGTCCGCTTCTTCGAATCATTCCAGTCGAAATACCCGGCTGTAATTACACGTACGGGACGAATCTGATAAAATATTTCTCCACTCTGCAATATACTCCACTGCGTCAAACGAAATTCCGTAAAATTGAAATAGATATAAAAGACCATCGTGGAGAAAAAATACCATTCGTATCCGGAACGCTGATAGTGACATTACACTTTAGATGTGTCCGTTAATTACCATTTGCAGTGGAAAGTCTACGGAGCTTTGAGAAAAAACTAATCCCGCATGGAATATGATGAGTATTACGAAATGCAGAACAGTGATGGAGGCAGGGAAGGAGGAATTCCTCGAATTTTCGTCGGTTCAGCTTATTAGCGTGGTCATGGAATCGGAAGTTTGCTCGGAGGATTATTTAGAAGAATACTTCCTTATCTAAGCAGGGGAATGCGCGCAGTCGAGAAAGAAGCTTTACGTGCCGGAATTGACGTGATAGAGGATATTGAAAACAACACTCCGTTCAAGGAAGTAGTCAAAACTCAAGGAATCGGGGGGAAATCTCAAGAGAAAAGCCAAAGAAAATATAAATAACTTGATGAAGGGGATATAAAACGTCGGGATATAAAACATCCGCGAAAATACAAGTCGCTCAGTTTCCTTCGGAGGGCACGACGCACGCACCGGTAAATCGAGAGAAGCACGGTTCGTAAACGCAGACAAGTCGGTAAAAAAAAAGAAATCATCGAAAATCGACGTGAAAAAAAACGATTAAAAAAATCATCGAGGAGGAAAGCGATAAAAAATAAAAAGGCAATGAAATATCGATGAAATAGCGGGAAAAAGCGCACCGTATCCGATATATTCATTTAATCGATGTGAGTGCGATTTGTAAATTTGAAAGATATGTCCTTTCTTCATACTCACTCGAGTGAATGTTTCACGAGCGAGCTCGATCTTTTCAGTTTACCTCCTACTCAAACCAGTATCGAGAGTTCACAATGGATTTATTATAAACCGGTAACATCGCTCGCGGACGACGCACCTATAGAATTCGTACCCGGATACGGCGAAGATTATCTAGATCTCACGCATACCATGCTAAGCCTTCGCGTACGAGTAGAAAGTTTACCCGGTCCTAAAACATCGGCAGGAGGAAACAAAGTAGGCCCTGTAAATCACGTACTACATTCGATGTTCAACCAGATCGACGTGTACTTCAATCAAAAACTCGTATCACCCCCAAATAATGCCTACGCGTACCACGCGTACATCGAAGCATTATTAAATTATTCTTCCAACAAAAACTTCCCATCTGACTTCTTGTCTATGGACACAGACGAATCCGGTTATATGGATTAGAATCGCTATTAGAATCGGACAACCCCAATCAAGCTCTCGTGAAACGCGCACGATACATCCAAGGAGAACGTTCACTAGATCTAATAGGCCATCTTCATTGCGATGTCTTTAATCAGGATAAATTTTTAATTAACGGAGTAGAAGTTAGAATGAGACTCGTTCGCTCGAGAGATGCGTTTTGTCTCATGGAAGGCAACTCAATGTCGAAAATACGTATTCTAGATGCTAATTTACTCATAAGAAGAACAAAAATAAGTCCTGCAGTGTTACTCGAACATGCGAGAATGTTGAGTAAAACAACCACCAAGTATCCCTTGACGCGAAAGTTCCCTGAGTCGAAGTTAAAACATTCACGATTCACGTCGGAGTGGTAGGAGAATCGATTGATAACGCGATATTCGGATAACTTCCGAAGCGCGTAATAATCGGATTCGTCAATAACAAAGCGTTTAACGGTGACAGAAAGCTAAATCCATTTAATTTCAAAAATTACGGCATAAATTTCTTCTCGTTATATGCCGATGGCGTGCAAATTTCGAGCAGACCACTGCAACCAAATTTTTCAAAAGACCACCCGTTCTACATCGAGGCTTATAACACCCTCTTCTCGGGAATCGGCATCCATTTTTTAAACGAGGGGAATTCTATAAGCAGAAAAGATTATGGCAAAGGTTTCATGCTTTCGATCTCACTCCCGATCTATTAGCAAATTGCGCGGGACATTGGAATCTTGTCAGACATGGAAGTTTACGATTAGAGGTGCGATTTGAAAAAGCTATTACCACAACGATTAATTTTATCATTTATGCAGAGTTTGATAACGTATTAGAGATCGATTCCTCACGTCAAATTATCGTTGAGTGGATAGATATATTTGAATTTCTCCCCCCTCCCGCTGCTATCTACTTTTCTATTTCTATTTCTTCGAAAACGTAACGAAAAGTAGCCGCAGTTTTGCTTTAGACGCGAACGTCGTCACTTCGGGCAAAACAGATTGAAAGTGCATTCTACACATCGTAGATATAATTATCGATATTATACAAGGTTTCCGCGACGAGGGGAAATTTATATCGAAGAAAGTGGCGGTTGTCGCCGCCATTAACGAAGCATTCATTGCATTATGTTGCCTCCATATCTATTTGTCGAATTACCCGAAAAATACAGACGAGAAAACAACTGACTCTCTCGAAACTTCCACGGAATCGAGTGGTTTGATGGAACAACTAATTCCAAACATTTCACGGCGAAATTGCACCACAAGCACGTTACACTTACTTATACACCAGAAGCCGTGAAAAGGTACATTATTTGCAAAACACATTTGCGAGAAACGTATATAATTTAGAAGAAATCTCTCTCGCATTCAAAAACCTGTCGGAAGGCGAAGAACATGAATTACGCTGCAGTCATCACGGGTTTCATCGAAATTCCGACAAATTTCATTGCGCGTTACGCAATGCATACAAATTGAGATACTGGATGCAATCGTAAGACAGGAACTGCGACGTAAGCAGCGATAATTCTTTATCAATGAAAACTCCGATGACAGCGATGCAGAAAGCGGGGTTTTTACGATAAAACGAATTTCTCGAATGTGGAATGTGTCTCGTTATGTGGAGAAATAAGAGATTAGAAACAGAACAAGCGAGGTGCGAATTGTTACGTCCTGCGTACTCCACAATTCCTCCCTTTCGAACAATCGCGAAGGGCTTCGAAATATCTCGAAAAATTCGTTTCTCGGCGAAATTTATATTGCCCATTAAATGTTTTTCTCTTCTTTGAACAAATAGTTTCGGCGTCAACAGGCCGGGAAAACCCGATAAAAGAAATTTTCCTAACGGACCCATAAAACGGGATAATAAACGATTGAAATTCCATCACGTAACGGAAATTGTTTTTTTTTTATATATTTTTTTCCCCCTTCCCAAAAGTTAGGGGCGAGATTCAACTTAACCAGTATTTTTAAGTATTTTTCGAGATATATCACCTTAGTTGATAAGTTAAATTTAATATACCGAAAGGCCGTTAAGGCCAAAAATCCAAAAATTCAATTAGATATAAAGGACACGCCCTAGAACCTCCCCCGTATCTCCAAAATCCTACATAACTCCGACTGCGCCTCACTCTCAACCACTCTGTACAACCTCTGTCTCTGTGTATTGTTACCTCTCGGTCTACTGCAATTATCCTGTGCTCTCCAACTTCTGCAGCTGCAAGGTTTCTGCCATCCAAGATCCTCACCGCAGAATCTTCCTAGTGAACAAGTTTTGAACATGTTTTATTAATCCGAGTGAGTGTGTTCCGGCGGGCCAGGATCTCCAGCATCAGGGCTGTCACTACATCTAAAGTAAGTGGAATTTATTTACTTTCGGTTTCCTTCCGCGCATATTTTCGCAAATACCCAAATTATATTTTAACATCCGTAACTTATATTCACTTAATAGTGAACAACAGAAGAATTAATCGAAAGACGGCTAGACGGCGGAAAGCTAGATTCCGAGCACGAAGCCTGTTGGATCAGACTTATCGGGAATTCCTCCAATCCATCAACCGCGTCAGAGCTTCACCAACGAACAGATCTCACACACTACCGCTGCGAATATCAACGCCTTGTACTCCATCCCCCATTTTCTGCCGAATCTCCCCTTCACCCTCGCAAGTCTCAATGCCTCGCGCTCCATCACCTGTCTCCTTTCCCTCAATTTCGCGGGCCTTGATGCTTCGCGTTCCGTCACCACCTCGCCCACAAACTTTCTCTTCACCAGCGAGTCGAGCGTGGAATTCATTGACGAGGTTCCACTGGTACCGCCGATACTCTTTGAGGAGGAACTTACGTTCCGCGAACTTACATCCTCGCGCAGTTCCCTATCTCCACTGAGACTCTTCCCCGGGGGACATTTACAATAGGCCCCGAATCCATCAACCTGATCGCACTCCGGGATCATGTAACGCGCAACCATCCTAATAACACCGTCGCCACATATATCCCCAGAGTTCCTTATCCCTATTTAGTCCCCGTCCGATATTTCTATAGAATGTTCCTGCCCACAACCATGAGAATCCACGAACTCCATTAATAATTCCTCCGAAGTTTCCTTTCGTCTCCAACGCACACACACACACACACACACACACACACACACACACACACACACACACACACACACACACACACAACACATACACACACACACAACACATCGAATTATGTAAAAAAATCACGGCAGTATTGAATGTTAACTATAAATTATTATATTATTATAATCATTTTTATCCGAATGTCATTTTTATTTGATTACGATATACTTGTTTACCCGAATGTAATTTTTATTCGATTACGATATACTTGTTTATGTTACATTAAATTTAATGTTAAAATTAAAATTCGTATACTTCATTTAGAATAAAACCTCGATCACTCTCCCGCTCCAAGGATTGCGCATGATTCTGTCCCCGGTTAAAGAGATTCTCTGACCCAAAAACGGACCACCGATCGCGGTAGCGCAGGCACGAGTTATAGCGACGTTGACTCGTTACCCTGTGCTCAAAAGGTGCGCTTGACTCACAGATCATTGTCTCAGCGACGATTTGAGAGAACAAAGCCAGTTCCGTGCGTCCACCCGAGCTTACTCTTTCTCTTAAACAAATTCATCTTTCCTTTCCTCCGGAGCTCAGACGTAACAGAACGAGTTAAAATTTTGGAGACTCGTCCGGAATTGTAAAGTACGATCTTTGGATACGAGAATGAGTACAATGAAGTCTAAAGCCGATAAAACGGTGGTGAATAGCCAATACCAAGCTGCTATAGAAAGTCAAAGTAAAACTAAAACGAGGACTTCAATTCCTATACACTCTTCAACTCCCGGAACATTGAAACCGACACCTCATCAAATTCAATTTCCTAACGATAATGAGAAACCCGAAAAAATAGTCTTAGAAGCGCGTGAGCTCGAATCCGATAGTTCCGACGACGAACCTTTGCGAACCTAAGTTCGATATTCGTAACACAAAGATGTCTCAACAAAACCCGCTTGCTACGCTAAAATATGCCGTAAACGCCATTCCGTATTTTGATGGCCAAAATATTCCATTGAATTATTTTATTGAGGGTTGCGAAGAAGCGAAATCTATACTTCCCGATGAGACCAAGCCTTAATTTGCTAAAATTATTAGAACGCGTATAATCGGAGAAGCATTCGTTGAACTATTCAGGATCAAGACTTTAATAGTGTTGCCCAACTCACTAAGTATTTAAAACAAATTTATGGTCCTTTGAAAAATGTCTATCAACTACAAGGGAAATTGGAATGTATGAAGGGAATGACGAAGACGTAGTAAACATACGCGAATAGAGTCAAAATTTTGGGAAAGCAAATACTTGAAGCATATCGAAGTTCGGGACCTTCTCTTTCCGAACAAAATATTAAGAATTTATTAGAAAAACACATGTGTAATTCCTTTATCAAGGGATTAAAACCAGAAATCGAACAAAGAATGTTAAGAAATCCACAGATGGATGTTAAAGCAAGCCGTAGCCGACGCGATACACATAGAAAGAGAATTATGCGCAATGTCAGATTTATGGCGCGGTAATATCGCAAAAACGCAAAATACTAGTTTACAACGCGAGACTTGCCAAATTTGTTATAAAGATGGACATTTAGCCAGTAACTGTAGAAAATTCATTCAAAATTCACGGCAGAATTATGAAATACTAATTTGTCAGATTTGTAAAAAAACCGAAAATCTGGATAAACCACACTGGATAAACCGCACGTGATCACGATGCTAGTAAATGTCGAATGGGCGACCCACAATCACGTCGAACTGTTAACGTAATACGAGAAAATACAATCGTCTGTCAATTGTGCTCTAAAACCGGTCATAACGCGAAGCCATGCCATAGTACTAATCAAAATAAGCCTCTCTTGATTTGCCAATGGTACGATAGAAAGAGACATTCAGCTAATAACTGCTGGAAAAAACAAAACGAACAACGC